ATTTAAGTGCACAATCGCGAATAGAGGCTTTGAATGGAGAAAAAAAATCTAAACGGAATAACAAAATACTTAAAATTCAAAAAATGATTCGGTTATTCTTTGTGTTCTATTTTCGGACAATGGCAATGATCGTATATTGCGGAATTCCATCGCATTCCATCTCACGAGAAGAAATATGCAATATCAGTGAGCATGACCCAGTTGTTTGGAATTGTCTCTCTCTCTCTCTCTCTCTCTCTCGCTCTATGTACAGACAAGCATCATTTGTATATTGCATATACCGTTTATAAAGTGCTGTACGTTTGTTTATTTTGTGGTATGGCTTTTAGAAAATATATCTCCAAATATATATATATATATATATATATATAATATATATATATATATGTTTTTCACTCCCATTAGCACCGTATGTGTGACGCATGTGTGTATCATGAATAGGCGACCATGCTCGACCCATACTCAATGGGTATCGTCGTCTACTTGAATTGAATATAATCATCTATGATTACGTTTGGCTTTTCTGGTGAACGATTTAAATAGAAAATGTATGTGGCTCGGTGGTAGTTGTTTACACCAACCGATATAGTATGGTTTTGGTGTATCACATCACCAGTGGTCCTCCCCTACCCAACCTGTGCCGATTTCAATTGTTTCGGCTACACAATTTGCTCGCCAACACAAAGAGATATGTTCATATACATATAAATAGCAGCAACAACAACAACAATAACAAAAAAGAGTGAAATAGCCGACCGCTGGAACAAATGATACTTGATTTGAGTGAACTCGTTAAACTTTATCATGAACTACATATGCCATCTCTCTCCGAAAAATATACGCTTTTGTTCTGTGAAGGACCGTTTCGTTCATTATAATGCCGCATATTTATGAAACATACACTCGACAGCTGATTCATTTTTTGTTGGGATTTTCTGCCTCAAAATTACACTTGAATATTCTCTTCAACCAGAAGCAGGGGAAGAGAGAGAGAGAGAGAGAATATGAGCCAGAGCACACAGAAGAAGGAAAAAAAATCATAAACACAAATGGTGACCAAATTTGTGTGAGTTTTTTTTTCACACATCAATTCGTTTCGAACGTTTCATTTGAAGGCTCACGTGGCACACATTTTATTTGTAAATTCTGCTGGTCAAGAGTACCGGTCGAACGATGTGAATACCAAAAATGTCTACATACACACCTACTTTTTTGTTGGTTGTACCAAGCCGATTGCTCGTAATGCTATTTTTTTTTCTGTGGTATTGTTTGTGTGTCAAATTAACTGTTCATTTTAAGTTTGGCCATTTCTTGGGCCCTCTTGACATCTCCAACGCATGCAAAAATTCGGTTATTTCGTGTGTGTTTGTGTTTTCTTTTCAGTTTCGGTAAATTCGAATTGTGAAGAAGAATTTTAAACGTTTCAGATAATTCTGCAGTGTTTTTTATTTTATTATTTTTTTTGTTTAATTAGTTTCGTTCCGTTGCGATGGGCTTTCTATTCTTATCACATGCGTTTGCGAATGGGATTTCAATCTTTAGGTGAACAAGAAGAAGACCATAAGTGCCTTGGTATTTAAAATTGTTTCTTCGAACTTTTATGTTCTTTTCAGATGATCGAAACAACGAATGTTCTCGAATGAGCACTTGTAAAATGAATGTGAAACGAAAAATACGCGCTGAACCTGAAGAAAGTGCAGGTAAATCGACGTGACACACAAAAAGAACATTGCAGAAAGAACGTGAAGTGAAAAGGAGAAATCGCAAAATACGAAGAAAGAGAAGAAAATAAAAGAAGAAGAAAAAAAAACGGACAAGGTCGTATATTATGCCGGTACACATAATTATGTTGGCGTGATTGACTGCGCATTAACTCATTATATCATACGCGCTGTGTAGTTATAAAATCGAACGGAAATTTGTGTATATATGCACGTGTATACGTGTTTGTTAGAAAGTGATTGGGTTGCGCGCGATTTGTGCGTCCGAGAAATGAAAAGTAATGAACATTCTTAGCATTGAGCATGTGCAAGAGATTCGTTCTTATTACAGAAGGGAATAATGTGCAGCGTTAGTCAATAAAATAAAAACTATTAAAGAGAAAACCACATCGGCACATTGTCTTGAATCTGTTCATTGATCAAATGTGCACGGGATATCGATGTGCGCACGATTTTATGACGCCTAATAAAAATGTACGTATTTGCATATGCTTGTAATGCGAATCGAAGGGAAAAGTGAAAATCGTAAATACGAACTACACAAAACGATTGCACGGACAATATTGTTGATATTAAAGCAGCTGGTAGACTTTGTACGCGTCACTTGCTGCTGCCAATCAGGTGATTGCAATCAAAATAGATAAGATGGGCAAATTAGTTTGTCGCGTATGCGGTTTTGCGGAACGAAAGAGATAGAACAGACAAACAAAGAAAAAAAGAATCACACGCAAATCTGTGCACTAGCTAACGAGGAGGTCATTTACACGTTACGCCGTTTCGCTTGACAACTTAGCAAATTCGATGCATTTACTCGTGAATTAGCATTAAATATTAGCTCTGTAAATTATTTGTTGATATAGCACACATATAGGCAGAATGCGCGCATCGGAAGCAGGACACTGACTGTGGCAGAGAGCGAAAGAGAGATGAAACGGCTCGAAAAACTCGGTGTTTTCTCTCTATCATCCGCGTTCGATACGAACAATCATGACAAATGAAACGAAACGAAATGAAACGAAGCAAACAAAATAGATATAAATTTCCATTTTCATTTCCATTTCCAAACTTGTTCGGCGGGCAAAAACGTGTTCGGCTTGCAAAAGGTAAAGCAGCAGCGACGACAACAACAGCAACAGCGGCAGCGGCGACAACAGCGATACCAAGCCATACCACGCAAACTATCATCATCCGTTTCTCTAGTGCTCAATAACCATACATTATCTCTATTTGCTATTTGTTTTATAATACACAAATATTTTCGTTTAATGAATGCCATTGCACATATGCATGCCTCAACTTGAATCATATTTACCTGCGCAATGTGAGCGCAAAAGTGAGAACCCGGCAAGTGACTGAGCCTCAGCATCATCATATAGTAAAAGTGTCATTGTCATCGGATGCAATAAAACTTTAATAAGATTCCTGGTATTTTTGTTGCTTTAATGAAACTGAAACTTGAAATGCGAACATAAAAAGCCGTACAAATGCGATTATTTCAAAGGAAATAAAATTCTGTGCACACACACACACACACGATCGCAATCATAATCACAAGCCCGCATAATGTGTGTGTAGAACGTTCTCTTTTTTTTTGCCCACAGAAATGCAATGGCTTCGTAACGGCATAGAGATTTGCTTAAAATGTTGCCAGCCAGCTTCATTTTCTATCCTTTATACACTTTGAACGAGTTTATAAATACTTTATGTCGATTTAACCATTTGATTGGAGTTTCAAAGTATTGTAAATTTCACCCGAAATCGCAATTGTCATCCGAATAAATGCTTTGGTTTTTTTTTTAAATCATTCCTTTCGTTTAGTTATGTAAATGCGATTTTTGATGAAATACTCAGCTTCAAACATTCATATTCGAAACAACTGGTTTTTCTATGTCCTCAAAATAGACACACGTTGCTCATTGTCATAGAGCGCATATTTTTTCTTTGTTGCGCCTTTTGTTATTGCTGCCCCTTCACCATTTCCCATTACCATCTATAAATCAGGATGGTTTCGGCGTTTCGCATATCCTCTCCAAAGATTAACATGGATTTGAATTAAGGGATAGAAAAAACCGGAGAGAGAGAGAGAGAGAGAAAAAAAAGGAAGTATCGAGAAGAAGAAGTAATTTAAAGTAAGCTAAATTAAAAGGAGATGCGAATTTAAACTTTTAATTACATTGGTAATTTTTTTTCTCTTTGCCTTCTTTCACTGGAAGTGGACGAATAAAGCGATAATTAATGTAACCAAGCGGTTGATGGCAAAAAGATTGGAAAATATAATTCTCTTTCTTATTTCGAGAGAACCGACTCATTTCTTATTCATTTCGAAGAAAGATGAATCGACCATCGAACTTTCATCATTTTGCCTATAATGCGAGTGTCACATACAACATACACGCACACCGAGACAGCGAGAAAGAAAAAAACAACGCCCAACGAACGCAATCGAAGTATTAGAACCTATCAGCGAAAAATCTTCAAATTCAAATCAAAACATGACGCGAACGCACACGCGACAAGACAAAAAAAAAGTTACTTCATTTTTAACTTATCAAATATTCAGATCAAATGCGCAAATTTAATTTAACTCAATGGAAAAAAGTACATGAAAAGTTTAACGAGAAATTCGTGGAAAATCTTCCCTTATGTGTGTGTGTGAGTGCGCGTGCGAACGCGGGCGTGTATCAAAAATATTCCGTTAGTTATGAACTCAAGAAGGAAAAACAAATGCGAAAGAAAAAGTAAATTAATATAGATGCTTCTGCAATGGAAAATCGACGCAAGTAATGTGGAACGAAAGAGAAGAAAAAAAAAATCACGCACACGAAATTTGCTGATGTCTTTGACGTGATATTCGATATACAAACTAATACGATATATTTTTTTTCTGCTGATACTGTATTGAAATATGCAAACGAAGGGAAACGAAACTTTTTTTTCTGCGTACGCGAAAGACGGCAAAATAAATGATTATCATTAAATTTAAATTAGTTGCACGAAGAAGAGCAAAAGAAAATTTTTTATCGTGATTCGTGGGTGCGAGGTGGCGAACAGGAGATGAGCAAAATTTCACATTGTCAAACTTTCATGTTTTTCCCCATAAATTTTTGATTCAATTCCAGAACAGCAAAGTGAAGCGTTGCAAATTGTTCCCTCATTTGTGTATACGTATGTGTTTTTATATGATAAAAAAAAGTGAAACAAAATAATAGGAATATTTCTTTCACTTTGATACTAATTTCTATAGACATTCTCTATTCAGCTTCTTATTTGTCTACTTACCCGACTTGTGAATTCCAGCAACTGCTGTTTAATGGCAAATTAACGAAAAAGAGTTGCTCTCGTGAAAGTATTTTTATTATTCTGTTTTATTTTTCTCGTGTTCCGCGTGTTATCGCTTTTTAAATGCTGTCTATGTTTTCCGCCCTTCTTCTTGTTCTGTTTTACACCAAAGTTTACCGCTAGAAAGGAAAAGAAAAATAGATAACGGGTAAAGATTAGGGCAAATATGATACTGAACGCATATACACACACACACACATACGCTGTGATGTGTTTGTGTCTTCATTTTTCGCATAAAACCCCAAAATTTAATAGGAAAATAACAGCAAAAATATCGTATTTAAATTGGCGTCACGTATTTCCAATGAAACAACAACAACAACTACAATAAAACAGTGATTAAAGCCCGATGAAAGCAAAGAAAACTGTGAAGCAAAAAAAGGAAAACCAAATGTTCTTTTCTTCATCGATTCGTTCCTTTACATTTCCACACTTGCTTGGTGATCGGTGTGCTCTCTGACTCAAATTTGTTGCTGCTGCACACCAATGTGCGGTAATAAGTGAGAATATTTTCTTATTTCGATCTGATTCCATGATGCATTTGCTGACCGAGGTGCGCACGTATTTTGTACAAGTTATAAACGGATACAAATGCATATGTTTGTGAAACTTTTTTCAACGGACATTTTCTTCGCCGACAGAATGCATCTTTACAGAATGGAAGCGAGCAAGAAACCAAAAAAGAAATCAGCTTTGGCTCTCAAATCTTATCGAGACGAATTTTCTTGTTTCAAACGCTCGCAGCGTACAGGCACGCTGCACGACCAAATGAAAAGGGAAAAAGAACTGCGTCCGCAAAAGAGAAACGGAGCGCAAAACCAAACACAAGAAGGAATCTAAACATAACAAAACTATTGGCGAACGTAGAGGGAGCGAAAGAGAGAAAAGAGAAAAAAAAGAGCTTGGTCGTGAAGAATACGAACCGGCTACAGGAATGAGAAAAACAAAGTCGCCTTGTTTTTTTTTTCTTTCTCTTGGCTGCATTCTATAGGTACATACACACATTCCTTCGTTTGTATATTTTCACTTCGTAATTCTTCCCATTTCTTAAACTTCAAATTGATAACGAAATGAAAGTTTTAAAAAAAACATAGATGCAGCTAGAGCGAGAAAAAAAGGGAAAAGTGCATGGTAAAAACGATGAGGGGAATCGGGTTAGCTGAGAATGAGAGACGCACGGAGGAAGAAGGTCTGATGTGATCAAACCATACACTCGTACAGCCATCGTACGCATACATATACACACACACATTTATTTTCATATGGATGTTGTTGTGTTTAAACTTGAACAAAATGCACCGCATTCATTTTCCTTATTCGCTTTAATTCGTGAAAATGAAAACGTAACCATGCACTAAAGAAGAAAATTGAATAAATAGAAGAAAGAAAAAAACAGAAGAAGACAGCAACAGCAGCAGAAGAAGAAAAAATTGCAAACAACATCAACGAAAACAACGGAATTCTTTTTATTTCGCCAAAAACGACAAGGAACGAATGGAAAGAACATTCTGCGAGGGCTTGCATTCCCGTTTCGCCATTTGATTTCGTTGCTGTTGGCGATCGCAAACAAAAGATGCTTAAAATGTACTGAATGAATTGTATGGGAAATATAACAGAGCTCGACTAGACGATATGAGCTGGGAATTTATTGCTAGCTTTGTCACTATTATTTTCTTAATGTTTCCTTCTTTTTGCCGCTTTTCCTCTCCCTCTCTCTCTCTCTCTCGCTCACTCTCTTTCCCGTCCTTTCTCCCACTGTGAGGTTGTATTTGTTCACGCTTTTGGGGAATGAATCTTCAACGCTTGAACATGATTGCATTCGGCTTTTTGGTTATCCATTTAATATGTTGCTCCTACAATTTTTATCTGAGCCACGGTCTCCAATGCACATTCCCAATTGAACAATTATTTTTTATGCGATGCTTTTTGGCTGGAAAATCGCATTTTCTCTTCTATGTCCTCGCTATGAATGCGTAGTGACAGAGTAAAAAAAAGGCACACTTTGAATCCATTAGACAAGCAACAAACAGCGAAAACAAATTATATGAAAATGTGCCGACTCAATCGAATATTTGTATGCAAAAAATGAATAGAAAAAAAACCATAAGATTTAAACGGAATACACGGGCAACAGCAAGAATACAGGTCTTTGCCATTCGATAGTCAAAAATGTATTTTCGCACATAATTAATTAATTTATTTATATTCGATTTTCGTTACGAACTTTCTGCAAAATCTGAAGCGAGAATTAAGTTAATTAGAACACTCTTAACGATTGGAACCAGAAGCTGGATTATCGCGTGCGTTTTTCTATTTCACTCACTCTCTCTCTACGTCTGTGTGTTTGTTCACCAACAGATGGAAAGTTCACTTGAAATCCCGATCACGAAGTACGATTCGCGAAATGAAAAGAAAACCATCGAATATAGAAGATAGAGAAAACGGGCGACGGAACAAAGAAAAGCGAAAAATAAAAATGATGGAATTCACGAGCGCAGCAACACAGCGCAAGAATAAAGCGCATAATAAAAAAAATAGTTAAAAGGAAAGAAAAAAAAAATTCATGGAAAATAAAGCGCGTTCAACTAAATGTAGATGTTGAACATTCGATCGAATGAAATGCGAAATATTCGATTTTATGGAATTTCCTACAAATGAAAAAGATTAAAACAATCGAAGTAAAGTGCTATCCAAATGGAAAACTTTGATTATTTTTACTATACGAGGCGTGCGCGCACGGCCACTCGCTAACGCGATTCTCGTCTCTTCGTTTTCCGTTTTTTAAGAACTACGCTGTCCCACACTTTTGGCTTCATTCCCTTTCGACATAGGTTCATCATTTATTCCACTTCAACAATAAGCACTTTTCTCTGAGCGCAATTTTATTCACTCACTCGCTGGCTCTCTATCTCTCTCTATCTCTCTATCGGTCTGTCTCTCTTCCAAATCAAAATATTCCATGTAACGACATGCAATACATTTCGTATTATCGAAATGCAGAAAAAAATAAATAAATATTTTTTTTTTGCATTTATTTATTTATTTGGGACCAAGCGACCGAATTGAACAAAAACACCAACAGTAAAAAACTTTGCTGTTATTTTGCAATGAATTTAGTTTGAAATATTTACAACAGCCAAATGAAATGATAGTAATTGAAAACTAAAGAAAAGAACTCATTTTATTTACCACGATTAACGTTAAGCAGTTTTGAACTGAACGGAATTGATGAAACAATGCTTTATATCCGATTGATGAAAATTGATTCAAATTGAAACTTTTCCACAACTAATGGTAATCACAGAACTGTTTTTTCTCTCTCTCTCTCTCTCTTTTTTTTTCTATTTTTCCGGCTACTTTTCTTCCTCTTATTTTTTTTCCGTTAATTCGGATTGTGGTGTCTCGAGCTGGCGAATTTTCTTGCTTCGCGAAAATTTAAAAGAAAACAACAATTTGGTCGGTTTGAATTTTCGATATATATATATATATAACATGGGACTACCGCAACGCGGGTCGTTCCGGTAAAGAATATTGCTCAATCGGTGATTGCAGAGGTTCTTATATACCTTTTAAAGTGTTCTGTCTGCTTAAGCAGTTAAGGTATTACACTTCGATTTACCATAACGGCTAGTTCGCATCGCATCTTCATTCTTCATTCTCTTCACTACTTCTTTTTCTTATTTTGATGATGATTATTATTGTTTTTGTTGTTGTCATTTTGCCTGCCTTTTTACCACAGCAGCAGCGACGACGATGACGACGACCACGATCACGACCACGACAAAATAAAAAGCAGCGCACACCAGCACACACTTGGCCGATGGAATTGCATGAAGCCAAGAAACAGGCTGAAGGCAGAAGGCGCAAGGTATAGAACAAGAAGAGAAGAAAGAACACAGAACATACGATTAGAGAGCGAAGGAGAGAGAGAGAGAGGTGAGCGGAAAAGGCAGCAGCGAATGTGTGTCGTCGTTGTCGCTGGTACTGGTGATGGGCTCCCTCCATTCGCGCTCTCGGCTCGATTCAATTTTTTGTTCTCTTCGATTCGATTCAAGAATATTCAACGCATAAATAAAACCGAAACAAAGTAATAGTGTGTACGAGAGCAAGCGCGCGATAAGTCCAAGCCATCTCTTATACACTTATCGCTGTGTCGGCTGAGGTGAGCTGAGCTTGAGCTGAGAGTTGGTGTGTTCGTGAACGTGCGCCCATGCGCTCAAAATAGACGCTGCTCATCGAGAGTGTGATCGCGCTGAAGGTGTGCGCACTCGCGCGCGCACCTTCTTGTGCTCACAATCACACCCGAACCAAATATGCGCACTTTCTTAAGCATTTCTTTGTTTATTTTTTGTCCAGCCGATTCATTGTAAGATTGTTATTACGAAAGCTGAAAGCAAGAGAAAAGCATCGACAAAAAATACACATCTTTGCAATCCATATAAATTAACATAGCCACAAATATGCACAGATCAAGACGAGAGCGAACAGGGAATGATAGATAAATGAGATTAACGAACGCACAACACACAACATAACATCGAACGAAGAAAAAAAGAAGAAGAAATATATAAATAAACATGTGGACGAGAGATTTTGTGGCGAGTTTTCGGTTGAATTATTTCAACCGTCACCAAAGCAGTTCATCCACTTTGAATTTGGTTTTTGTGTGCGTTTTGGCCAAAATTAGGCGAAATAGCGAGAAGATAAAAATATTGAATAAGAAACACATAGAACACGTACAGAATGTGCGATATAATATTAAATTAGTCACGGCAAGGGGCACAAATGGCTTTTTCTATCTCCAAATTCAGATAAATCGAATGGCTTCTCTGATACGCAAAATGAAAAGAATTACAAATATTTCGCTTTATCTTTTGGTTCAGCTTGACGGAAAATGTCGATGCGCAAAATGCTCATAATGGTGAGTTCAGTGTACGGACACAATCAAAATAAAGCAAAAAATTGGTTGCTATCAAAATATAACATCAAATCACCGCAAATTTTGCATATTACTGCTTCGGATGAGTCCCGATTTGATTTGCGTCATCTTTTTTTTGCGCTCACCAATGTTGCATTGTTATTGTTATATCTAGAACTTTTATTTGGTGTTGGATTTTATTTACTATATTATTTATCAGTTTGTTAATTAGAATATAACTGTTGTTCTGCGGATGACCGTTTTTATTTCAGACATTTCTCCAAATCTTTGGATTTTTTTCGTTTAATCTGTTTGAATCGCATAAAATGCAAAAATTACCAATATTTCGAATCTGAATTGATTAATTTTATGAAACGGTTAATCAGCAAGACGATTTGGTTGGCAAATGTGTATATAAAAATATGTGAGTTCGGGTCACAGAATATAAATCCGTTTGTCATGAATCAGGAAGTTCAAAATTCCGAGACATTTTAAAATTATTCTTCGGTTTCTTGACACTTTACGTTTCTCTCTTTTTGCCATTGCGAACAACGTTGTTAATTCATTATTTCTTCTTTTTTTTGCATTTTCGTCTTTTGCCCATAAGCACAAAGTGAAACGAGTTAAGCGCCATTTGAGAATCTCTCTTTGCAAATAGAAACTAAATATTCCGAAGCCTCCCACTTGTTTTTCATACATCCCGCCATGAAGTGTATATATATGTATATCAATGTCTGCTATTTGCGATAGAGAAACTGGTTGATCGAGAAATTAAACTCAGCCGCACTTTACACAAAATTCTAAGTCCATAAATAAGTGCTTTCTTTGCATTCAAATGAGAAATCGAAACGACAAACCACATGAAAGAAGAAGAAGAGAAAAAAAAACGAAGCGGCGGCCACAACAACGGCAGCATTTACTTTAGACGTGCTTTGGATTCACTTGGCAAGGGACAAATAATACGAAACACAAATAAACAAACAAAAAACTAGTACGAAAAAAAAAATGGTTGAAAACCCGTTTCTTGAGTCGTACAAGTGATTGTTACACAACCAATTGATTAATTGCGGCCTTTTGTATATGTGCAAAGGGCTCACCACATACAAATGCAATCAAATTCACCGCGTGCTGCGCTCACAATTCACATCGTACTCGTCATTTGAATTCAGTTACATAATTTATGTTTGTGTACACATGTACGTTGCTTTTTTCATTTTCAATTCTACAGATTAAGTGAGCATCATTAAGCATCTCCTTCAAAATTTTCGTTGAATTAACATTAACCGTAATAACGGTTCATTTTGGGAAAATCATTTGCCGCGCGATGCGCGCCCGATCAAATGCAAATCAAATGTAGATGTAATATGTTAACATTTGTCGGTTCTGAATTCAGAACACTCGACGAACGAATATTTTGTTTTGCTGCTGGCGGAATATGTAAACAACTTAATGCCGCCATAAAATTTATCGTGAAGAATGCGCAAATTAGTACAATTTTTTTTTGTGGCATTTTTTTCTCCAATCACGAAATTGGTTAAAGTTTATCTACCCGACATACGTTAGATGGATTCTTTTTTCTCTATTTGTTCGCATTAAACAGACGATGATGATGTTAGGATGAAAAATGCGTATTTTTAACTTTTTCTTTTTGCGCTCCCAATGTATGTGATCCATTCCTGGGCTAAATTGTGCGATGAGAGGAGAAAGGAGAGAGGGAGAGATTGAAATCATCCGTCATATTCATTAAGAGGTGCAATGACATCGTGAAGAGAGGCTATCAAATACAACGCATTATCTCAGGCTCATCATCAATCATCAGCACAATTTCAGACACTTTTCACGGTTCGGAGTTGGCCAGCCGGTTCAAAGAAAGTTGCTATTAAGTAAAACGATGACGCAAAACAACATCCAAATAAGTCAGAAATTTTATTATTTTCGCAATAATTTCTTGTTTGCAATTTTTTTTCGGGGGCTGAATGAATAAACCACAGCAATAACAGTAGGCCAGTGACAAACAACTCCAAGAATGTTTTTTTTTTCTCTCAAAAAAGTCAAATTGGCCTATCTTTTTGTTGGCTTAATCCGCTGGTATCACCAAAAACGGTCAACAAAATATCAATTCAATAATTTACATAGTGCAAAAATAAACCCACTCAAAGGCATCATTCACATTGTGTGCGATTGAAAGTCCGCATTGTAATTACATACAACACACAAGTCAATGATGGAATTGTAGATTTGGAAATTGAACTGTGAACTTCAATCGATAAATTTTCTTCGAAATCGAAAAAAAAATTGATAAAGAAAAACACTAATTCGAAAAAATTCAACACGAAAATAAAAGAAAAAAGTGGATATTTTTTCTTATCTGTCCTTCAACCTATAGAGTCTCACAAGAGACCGGACATTTTAGCGGTTAAACGAATAACCGAGCAGGCGTGCACACATATACAACTACTACGTACTATACATTCCGTTTCGCTGCAGTCGCCTTCAAGACGTAGTCGAGAGGTGCCCCCAATAGTATGCCGTTTCAGAATGTATTTAACCGAAAATCCGAACAACATTATTCTATCGAATTATAAGGTTCAAATCAAAATGAAAAATTTTCAGTCTTCATATAACTTCTGTATGCCGGTCGATTCTCACGGGATCGAAACGTTTTTTTTTTCTTCGATTTTTTGATGAAATTTTTTTTCCTGGTTTTTCATTGCATTTCTTAATCAATTGTAAAGAAAAACAAATTTTTTTCGTTTTGGAATACGTTAAAAAATCATTTGAAAAAATATATATTTCAATTCAGTTGATTTCGTTCAATACAAACATTTTGCATGTGCGAAAAGGAGACGAAACGACAGCGTTCAAGTGTATGTTGAATAAGTCTGTTTCACATGCATACATATTGCAGTTCGACGGCGTGTGTATACGATTTGGGCATTTGATTATGGAAGAAACGCGATGCTGTTTGAAATGTGTGCGCGCGCGGTGTGAGTGTCTACGTTAGCTGACACCGCATTCACAGTCAATATACACACACACCAAAAATACAAGGGCTGTATACTGTGAATGTTTCTTCCAACTCTGTCGTTTCAGTTCAGTAAAAAAAGTAATTCATTGCGCGAACGTTGTTTCATTCCTTTTGAAAAGATTATTTTGGATTTTTAGTTAAGACATGGTGAAAATACGGCGATCGGTCAAATTAAAAGCAGGCACTGTAATCAGAAATGGAAAAGTGCGTCTTAAAGAATTGAGTGTTGCCTCTATTCGAATTTCGCGAATCAAACGGTTGGCTTCATTGCGTTGCCAATATATTCTCTATGATACGGTGATTAATTGCACCGATCGCGAAATTGCTGCATTTTCCCGAAAACCAGTCCGATCAGTGTGTCAAGATATGTTCTATGGTGTTAAGGTTAACAATATGGCTCGAGCACAAGCTGCTGATGAGTTCATGCAAATGATGCTCGAAAATGGAATACAACCAGTCCACATTGCGAATCTGAACTCACCCTACAAATACGCCATACAAGAATTTGAGCGAGTTTTCAGAACGGCTGTGAAGCGAAATAGTTTTAAATACTTGGTACAATTGTTCAAATTATTTT